AAAAAAAAAAAAAAAAAAAAAAAAAAAATTGGAACACGATGAATCGTGAAAAGGCGAAGAGGAAGGGGATCGATGGCGGTTGGGGGTGGTTAGTGTGTTTCGGAAGCAGCCTTATCTCGGTGAGTTAACTCTTAGTTTCGTTTTTTAATTATTCGTTTTTTAATTATTAATTATATATTTCTGATTTTTTTTTTTTTTTTTATGTATGATTTCGATATTCAAAGAATCGAAACGATTTGTTTTTCGCGATTTTGTGAAAATTTTTTTATTCGGAAAATCTGATTATTTATCGCAAGTTTGAGAAGAGTCGTGAGTATTTAAACGAAGGAATTCTACGTTTCGTACAATTTCCACGCTCCGTTGACGTGTTAGCAGCTTGTTTTTCTATCCTTTGTTATCTGCCAATTTTTATATCTCGATTATCGTTGTTATCTATCAGCTTGTTTTTATTTTTATTTTCTATATTATTTTTATATAACTCGTATCGAAAACATCGAAATACGCGTGATTTTTATAAACTTTTCCAGCTCTCTTTAAGATCCTTGGATCCCTCGTTTGGCCTTCTCTTTCACGATCTCTTCTTAGAGCTCGATATAGATTCAATGAGAGCATCATTGATAATGAGCATTCTCGACGCTATCGTCAATTTTTCCGGTATGAAAATAATAATAATAATAATAATAATAATAAATTTAACGAACAATATATATCAATTCATTTTACTGTTAATATAAATTTATTTTATCATCAATTTAGGTCTTTTGGTAGGACCTTTATTGAAGAAGTACTCTTATCGACAAGTATCTTTCTTTGGATCTCTTTTAAGTTGTAGCGGATTGATATTGACATCGAGGGCAAATAGCATGATCCATATCGTTTGCACTTATAGTATTTTGGGAGGTAGGTAGGTGATAAGCCTTTGGAACAAATTTTTTACGAGCAACTGTTCTAACATTTGTACAAACGGATAGAAAGAGAAAAAAAAATAAGTCGAAGATACATATAGAATAAAATTAATCGAGTTAACAAATTTTCAAAAAATATGTATAATTGTCTATTAGATACGAAAAAAAAAATATAAGACGAATTGTTCTTCATATTTTCTTAAAAAAAAAACGAAGATTTAATTAAGATTTTTGCATATTTTTATATGTAAAAATATTCTTATCGATAGTTCATTCGTATCTAATCTAAATATTCGATGTTCAGTTAAAATATTTTTCGTATTCTAGAGTTATATAACATCCTTCCTCGATATTGTAAAATCAATATTTTCGTTAATTTTTAACCGATTATTCATTATTATTCATCGTTAAATAAATAAAATTAATATACGTATTAGGATTAGGAACTGGATTGGCGATCGCAGCATCTTTCGTCGCATTGAACACATTTTTTGACAAAAAGAGAGGACAGGCCGTAGGATTTTCTATGGCAGGCACAACATTGGCAATGATGATAGTGCCTCAGGTAAAGTATATGAATAAATAATTTTTACTGATAACGAAAATAAAATTATCGATCGAGCCAGTTTGATAATCTTTATAAGTACTTCGATGAATTAGTTACGAATATAAATCTATCTTTTGTTCCAGAATGATTTCAGAATAGGTGAACAGATAAGTTATGCAAAATTATGTTATATCGATGATTTCTTCCTCCTCTTGTAGTTGATACATCTTCTTTTGGCTGCTTACGGGTTTCGTGGCGCGATGTTAATCGTTGGAGGATGGGCATTGCACTCCACCGTAGGCGCTTGTTTATTACGTCCGCTTCGAGTCGAAAGTTCAAAACCCGTTGGGAAGGTAAGGATTTTTTATCGTACTTACGTTTCTAATTTCTTTAACTTCGCTTTTTCTTTTTTTTTTTTTTCATTTTTCTTTTTTTAATTATCTCACGTGCAAACGTGATAAGATTTTTTTCAAATGGTTGAACAAAATTCCTTCTACAGCCCGTAAATAATTCCTCAGAGAATGACACATTACTACGGTTAAATGATGCCGAAACGACGAAAAAGGTCGAATACGGTACGAACGATTGCGAAAACAATACCGCGACGTACGAGGAGATAAAGCAACACGGCAAAGAAAACGAGTTGTTACGAAAAATAAAGGAGACTTTCGATTTGGATTTATTTAAGGATGGCGTGTATTTAAACATCATAGTCGGTCTGAGCTTATATTATGTAGCCGAGTCCAATTTCAAACTGATGACGCCGTTCTTTTTGTCCAGTATAGGTAAGTGATTCTTAGAAAGAAATTTCTAGAAAATATAAATATTAGTAGAGTAGCGAAGGATGTGTTTAGCCTAGCAACATCCTAGCTACCGGCACGCGGTGGAACGAAACTAGAAAAAACGCGATAAACGAGCGACAAAGATCGTGCCATAAAGCTTAAGAAGAAGAAGGAGAAAAACAACAGTCAACAACAAACTTGTCCTTGAAAGAAACTTCGATCGAACGAACTTTGTTAGCGGATTTCGTTTGTCGCGTTTTTCTCTCGAGTTTCATTCCACCGTGTGCCCTATTTTTTAGAATTTTTTGGGACCTTTTGAAGGAACTTGATGGTCGATAGGAATGAACAAAGCCGAGATCGCTTCCTGTTTATCGATAACTGCGTTCACCGACATTCTTGCCCGACTCACACTCCCAACCATATTCGATAGATTAAGATTGAAAAAAAGGATCGTGTTCTGGACGTTTTCCATACTGGTTGGGATTGGACGATCGAGTACGTACGCGAGAAATCATCTTTTATTTATTCGCTCGTTGATTTCTTTTAATATCGTGTTTTGGTTTCCAGTAATGGTGACGCAATCGAAAGGGACATTTTTGATAGTGACATTCGTGATAATAGGATTTTTACGGGGCGCAACTTTGGTGAATTTAAATCTCACCGTATCCGAATACTGTTCCTTGAGCAAATTGCCGAGTGCCTTTGGGATGTTTATGGTGTCTAAAGGTTTATTCGTCATAATGTTGAGTCCGTTGATCGGTAGGTTTAACATAATAATAAGAATCATGATGAATTATCGAATAATAATTTTTTTTCCTTACAGGATACATCAGAGATGCCAGTAAAAGTTATGCAATTTGTATACACGTGATGACATTAATAATATCTGCCATGTTCGTTACGTGGAGTATTGAGTTTATATGCAAGATATTTAGAAAAGGAAAATCCGATTTAAATAAAAAAACGCAAGATGTATCGATGGAATGAACGTTTAAATTTTATTAAAACCGATATAGTATCTAACATTAGTTATGTTTGTATGTTTTCGTTTAAACAGTATAATTTATTTCAATTCTCTCGAGGTTCATAATTTTGTTACAGATATTACGATGTCCATTTTGGGTTATATAATATTATAATATACAATATTTTTAGACAAAGATGCGTACCTGATATTTTATCATTTATACCATACTATTTATACGAATTTATAGTTTGTATAATTTGTATGATCCTATATTTAAAATTCTATTTCATGATATATATA